ACCAGAGAGATGATCAATGCTCTGTAAGTTAAGGTGTCAAAACCAGTTTTCGCTTATTATGATCCCTAACTAACTTGCTAGATACAATCAGAGAGAGTTAAGTTTCTGTGCTGCTCTGTAATCTCTATTTGAACACCTAAGCCTGATTAAAATCATATGCATTGTAGCCACTACAAGCATCCCTTTCATCATGCAGAAATGTCCACTATGTTCAACAGCATAAGGGAGATCCCTAAGATAACATGCAGAGCTGCCACTTGCACTCAGCTGATTAAGAATTTAATTGCTAACCCATTTTTAAACTTGACGCTTTCTTACTGCAAAAAGACATCAACCACAGAGATATTCTGACATTACTACGCACTAAAACGTTTTTCTCTAGCAGATAACTAAATCAAGTATAATCAGTATCTACTTTCCAGACAGAAGTAGCAGAAATGGCTTCTCAATACAGGTGAGAGAACTATCCCTCACAAACACATCCCCTACGTCTGTTTTACAGACCTGCTGGGGCAGCAAGCAAGCATACACAATGGGTTTAAGGAGCGGCGAGACAAAGCTTGCAACAGATCCATTTTCAAGGAAGTGGGCATGCACAGGCAAAAATACAGGGCATCATGAAAAGTTTTTAATGGTCCCCAGCTACAGTGAAGCTTGAAGAGGGCAACAGACACAGGTGAGATGCAGGAAGCACACACGTCAGGAGGGCAAAGCTGTACAGGATACTGATAAGAAAATTGAAGTGCCAGAGAAAGTAAGTGCTATGGCCTAGCACTGAACAATCCTCACAACCACACAGCATCAGAACATACAACTCAACTACGCAAGAAGTTGACAGATACGAACACCTCGCTAGTGCAGGGCGACAAACCGGTAAGAAAATGCTTGAAAGAAAGAGAGTTCAGTTTGCTAGGTTTAAAGTGGCTGAAAATCTAAAATAAGGAAGCACCTCTGAACAGGAAGCTCAGTCATCCACGAGGATAACAGAGCTTGCACAAAAGGGCAAGATCAACAGGGATCAGATACAGAACACTAGATATCGACCTCTTTCTTCCCAGTGCTTTCTCTAAGAGAATAACCCATCTCTGAACCAACTTTCTTCCCCGGGTTTCCAAGATACTTTCTTATACTACACCCTGCAAAAAGGCAACGTAGTATTGACGACATCTAAGCTACAGTGTAAAAACCAACCAGGGCAGAGGACAAAAAACCCTAAAAAACCAGAAGGAAACTAATGACTGCTACAGATACTGTAAGATGTATTTCTAGTACTTCTGAATTTGAAAGATATTATTGAAATTTACCCCATGAAAGGCTGATGAGTTCTTATTTCACTTGTATACATGAAAACTAGTTTCGTGCACAGCAATAGTGAGAAACAATCAGCTGAAGCTCTTACTATGTCTAATTAGTAGAAGCAATCTTAATACCATTATATGCATTTGTAAAGTCGGATACGATACAGGTATATAGCCAGGCTACAACCTACCCAAGTTTTTGCTGACATAGCGACTCTTCCAGCTGGAATTTTTTTTGCAAGTAGAAATAATGACAGTAATATAAAGTTATTTGACCATCTGCCCAGGCTGCCTGAACAATTTCCATCTTGCACTTCTGGCCTTTGCACACGCTCAAGAGACAGCTTACCATCCAGCGCATCTCAGCAGGCACTGGTTAAATATGCTGCTCATGCTCATATTTCTGTACAAGATACCCTGGATCAAAGTTGAGGATCCCTGGCTTGGAAAGAAGTAGATCAACCATTCACCACTTCTGACACTTTCTCTAAATTCTCTTTTATTTTTGGTTACCCCATCCTCACTGTTAACTGAAGTCAGATGTCTGCTTACACCTTGAAGATGTCTGACACAGCCTGTGGTGCTCCTCTGTTTTTCACCAAAACGTATTTCCTGCATATTTATCCTGTCACTCTCAAAAACTTCCCGTCTACAATGCTGGACTGTCTATCTCCAAGACTCCACTGCTGGAACAGTGTGCATGTGTCTTCAACAGGCCCCCAACTCACGCAAACTGTACTCCACCCACACAACATTAGCACTTTGAAAGACTCCTTTGTTACAAGCACTGAGGACATGCAAAGGTCTGCAACTTGCTCACTTATACTTGTTAAAATCCCTCCTCAGCCTTCTGCCCTATACCTTCCTGAAAGTGCAGCTGACAAACTACATGAGAACCAAGGCCATCGAATGAAGCACTCCGTTCCCAAAACAGTCACCACAGATGCTTCTGTTTGACACGTAGTAACCCCAGCAATAATAGATATTGAATAACCTGTTTTATCCTTCTTCCATTGAGAGTGAAGAGGTAATTTACGACTACTGACCATAGCAGAAACTTTTATAAAATCATTTGATATCTGGTCTAATCTTCCATATATGAGATGAAATACTTAAGTAACAAGATAAAATAATCCAAATAAAATTTAAACATGTTCCTAACATAGATCAAATGTAGAAATTCTAGAGGACACTTATCTGTAATACTTTTCATCCTTCTTGCAGCTCTTAGATACTTAGCCTTAGTTTTTGTGACAGGAAGTTTCTCTCTTGGACCAGGGAGCCTGGCTATGTGAAGTGTTAAAAACAGGATCGTACAGAAATTCACTTGCTCTTACGCAACAGCTAGTTATCCTGAGAGAAGAATCCAATGATGTAGACATAAGATGATGCACTTCATACGCGACAGCACAGCCCAGATGCACTACCTAACACTAAGACTACTCGCAATTTCATTTCAGTGGTTTGAGTTTACCACTTCAGTGAGACACGTCAGGATTGGTAAATCCCCATCATGAATGGAAAAACTCCCAAGACACTAAGCTACTTTAAGGGATACAACAATTTGACTGACTTTTTACTTAGCTTTATGGAAGGGTACTACTAACAGGACACTTACTGACTTCTAAGCAAAACCAGACTATGCCCCAAAGACTAAGCAAAATTCAACTTGAAGATCAAGCTTGTAGATCGAGAACTCCCATCTTCCCATATCCCTTTTCTACAATCTACCTATCAAAAATAGCATATCAAAAATAAGCCAAGAGACAGAAAACTTATACCAGCATTCTCCAAGTCACCTCACTAAGATGGAGATAAGGAACACCAACTTCTTACTGCTGGGAACAGATCAGCTCTTATCTGCCTAGAATAGACTGCTTTGAAAGGAAAAGGGTACAGAACCTCCTTTGAAGTATCTGGTATTTTCCATCAGAGACAGAACTCCAAAGTGTAACTTGGAACCCATCTAGAAATACCTGTATGTGCTGGACTGTGGTTTAAGAACTACTGCTCTGTAGAAACATGGGTGGTGAGGAGTAGACAGTCTGGCAAAAAGCAGACTAACCCTAAGTATCACAACAAAATATGTGTCTTCGAACAGCAGATCTCACTAATAAAGTCACAACTAACTAATATAGGTTCAGCACATATGTGAAGACAGATCTCAAAAAGTCCCAAAGAGCAGGCAGCAAAACTGCAGCTAGGAATGCTCCGAACAAGTCGATGTGCTCAAAACACACAAAGCAGACTGGCATATGCATACAGCACAGCAAGCATTGAACTCTGACCTACCTGTCCAAAATGTGCAGGGTATCCCAGCATGTGCATATACAGCAGCTTTGCCACATTTCTGCATCGGTATGTGTTATCTTCCTCTCGGAAGGATGATCGGATAGCAGCACATTCCTTTTGGATCATCTCACGCTCTTCTGCCTGGGTTCTTGCCGTCCGGATGGTCCGGATCAACTCCCGCAGTCTGATAGGGGCTGGCATCCTCTGGGAGAAGAGAGAGATCTGTAAACCTCGCACTGCACCTAAAGGCTTCATAATGGTCTCATACTTCCGCACATTATTTTTTTTCTTTCTTACCCTACAATTACAGATGTAGAAAAATTAAGAAAACGCAGGCTGCTTCAGTAGCGTGGTTAAAAGTAAACTTGAAAACCAGAGGAATTTGTTGCACCTCACATTCGCTTTTCCAGAATATTAGAAACAGGAATTGCTATGCTTTCAGCTAGCTGTCAGGTGAACGTAACATGACTCCCCACCTGAAACAGGCAGAAATGGCACTCTGCAAGGTATGCTCTCATATTCACATCACCTGCCTCTCCCCAGAAAAATCAGGCTCCAAGTTGATCCCAAAATCATGACAACTTGAGACAGAAATCCTTCACAAAAGCAATGCTGTTTCATAACTTGCACAAGACTTCATACAAGTGTTTCAGATAGCTGTGCTTCAAAAATCCTGCAACTTGTGCCATATGCACTTCCTTCTTAGAGGCATGGAAGTCAGCAGAAAAAGCAGATGGAAGAGCAATCCTAGCTGTGTGGGCATTTCAGAGACTCTTCTTTTAAAAACAAATAAATCAAGTTGACACTGTCCTTTTATTACACCCCAAACAGAACAACCCTTTCTAAAACAAACAAGCCTGTCACATTACTGTCTGGTGGCACTAGTATAAAAAGAGCATGCAAGAAAAGCATATTCTACATGAACTCCAAGTAGTTTCACCTCACCAGATGGAATACTGATGGAGCCATCTGACCTAGAGCGCAATTTAGTCTTCTGAGTATCGCCTCAAGATGAAAATGGCTCTCAGAGAAAAGCCAAACTTCATAATTATGTTCAACAGTTGAACTTTTAGTTCATGCTCACCAAAGCTGACTTTTGACTTTCTGGGAGATCAGACTATGCCAGCATTTCTACAGTCTTCTTTCATCCATGCTAGACTGTGAATATAACTAAGCCATTCTAATAGGAGATAACGTTACACCAACTTGTAAAAATTTGCCACGGCAGTCTGCTACGGATTTTGTCTGGGTCACCATCCTCCCAAAACGAGCGTCATACATTTTAAGCACTACCACATCAAAAAAAGATGTGCATTCAGATGCTGCACAAACTGGCTTGCATGACACCACAGCACAGACAGGCTGGGAAGCATAGAGCATTAGCAGGGGACTTGTCTGCTGCAGAAAAGGAGAGAGATGCACATACAATGAGTAATGGTGGCCTCACAGTAAGACAGGTGAATGCAGCTCTATAGGTTTGGATTATAAATCTGGTCTCCTACAGAATTCATAGATAACACTAAGCCTCTTCAGTCAAACCATGTAGACTCTTCATATTACAGTTCCTCATCTTCAGACCTAGAAAGTTTGTTTGAATTTACAGAGACGAGACACAAAGCATTCAATTTTGAAAACGGAAGAGTAGAGATGTTCCTTCTGCATAAGGAAACTCTATCCAAAAATGCTGACACATGCAGGGCCAAGAGTATTGGACATGTTAATCCTTAGCCTTGCCTCTCCATGTGAATTTATAACACTTCCTCCATTACCATGACATGAATAAATCAATGCCTACCATGCACTCGGATGCTGCACTAACAAGCATCACAGAAACAGCCAAGGGGAAGTAAGAAATCCATCTCCAGAACAGTATTGGAGCATGCAATAAGGCCTTTGAATGCTGCCAGTCATGTTCTTTTAACACAGCTTGTAAAGCTCCTACACTGAAAAGATCCTACACACACAGCATCATATCGACATGCATACGGGGAAGCCTTTAGTTAGACAGACTCTTTAAACCCTTAACACAGACCTCTGCTCTCAGCTCCCAGTACGAGTGATAGTAGCAGAACTGGGATCTTTGAGCAGCAAGTTCAGATTGTAGGATCACGACAAACAGAACATGAAAACCTTGCAGAGCGCTAGGAGCAACGCATTGAGATACACCAATTGTACGCAGTCTCTGGAGATACGAGATGCTGAAGTGCCAGTCTCAAAGGAGCACGTACAAATCCTATTTGGCCAGACCGGAAGACTATTTTCACCAGTGCAACAAAATACACCCCCCCAAAATAAAAGGACAACTCCCCAGCACTCATACAGGAAGTCAGTCAGAAGCATAAAGGTTTCAAAGCTTTTCAAAAAGGTAGTTTAATTCTATCCATTTCCTGCCGCATCCTCCCTATCTACAAATAAAATACTTTTCCTACCTTAAGAGAGGAAAATACTTTTCTAAAATCCTTCAAAAGCCTCTGATGAATAGCTTGCTTGGGAAATTTCAGAACGAGAAACTTAGAACTATTAAAACAAACCAAACAACAACAACAAAAAAGGAAAACAAATGAAACACGGATTTAAATGGCATGTAAAATTAAGGCAACTGGGCAAGAGTTAATTATTGCAAGCTGGAGTTCCAACATAGCACATACTAGTTGTTTTCCAGCTATTGTCTGGTTGTGTCACTTTCACTCTGTCGTAATTTACTCTTACTGAAAATGGACATACACAGACTAACTGTGTGCTATCACTGGAAACTTGTTAACTTGCTGCTAATTACACCCTCTACATATTCCAAAAACTTGTTTGCATAAGCCTATCCTTAGAGCCTGCCTTCAGAGCTGAAACTCTGAACAAAACTGAAGGCACAAGGCTTGTCTACTTAGAGAGTTCTTCTGCAATAAGGTAGGATACAAACCCCTCCCAAATTCTACGAATCCTTATAACAACATCTGCTTAAGTTCGTACTTCTATCCTGAATCTGTCGTATTGGAAGTGGTCTCAATTTCCCATAAAAGCTATTCGTAATTAAGTTGACCCCTCATTTCTATAGTAGTCTTCAGCTGAACCTTTTAATTTACACAAAGAATACGATGCACCAACCCTTCCCTGTCCTAAATGGGCAGTCAGAGAAGGCATAAAGACCAGAAATGGTCACACCAGGTCTGATCAAAGCTCCACCCTGTTCAGTACATGTCTCTGACAAGGGCAGATGCCTAGGGAAGCACACAAGAACAGGGCAAGCACGTAGCAGTACTTCCTCAGAATTCTCTTGCAGTCTTCAACAATTTGTGGCCCAAGAACTTCCAAAACCAGAAATAAAAAACACTTGGTAGTTTTATTTGGAACACAGGTGAGGTTCTAGGATCAACAATATTCTGCAGGATACAACCAGAGTTCCACAGCTTCACTGCATTACATAGAGACCCAGCTACTTCTTTTGTTCTGCATTTCCAACTGCTTCTTTCCACTGATGCTCCCAGTTATTCCACACACTTCCACCATTATCCCCCCTCATCCTCCCTAGTCAGAAAAATGCAGTCCTACACCCACAGCCCTTCCTTGACTGGTTACTTTTGTTGCCTCGCCTGCACATTCCACAACTCTCCTGCGTCCTTTCTGAAGGGGCAAGAAGCAAAATGCTGCACACTGCATTTAACAGGTAGATGTGCCATTGATTTACTTGTGTAACATGTCTTCTGGTTTGCGCCCTATTATTTTCCTAGTAATTGGTAACACTCAGTTCAGGGTTCTGATTGCTACAAACTGCTCAGCTTGTGTTTTTCACCTAACAGTATCATAAACCCCAAAAGTCACTTTCCTAGTGGCAACAGTCTGCTTAAAGTCCCTAATTTTTAAGCCTGTACTCACTACACACACAGATCACATGGTTTTAAACTGATTTTGGTAAGCCACGCTGTTGTTGGAAAATTGGGAAGAAGTTAAAAAAATAAAAGCACTACTGCAGCAATATCCCTCTGCAGTCCATGGGCAAGAATTTCATAATCACCAAGACCATGCACAGGCTCACGCTGAAAGAGGTGGTTCCAGTCCTTCCACTGTGCTGAC